CTTTCTTCTCTTTCAAAATAATTTTGATTTTTGGATGGTTGAATTTTCATTTGAATTTTAGAATCAGCTTGTGAATCTCTGCAAAAGCAGAAACAGCTAGGATTTTGGTAGGGATTACATTGAATCTGTATCTGAACTGGGTAGTAATTCCATCTTAACCATATTAAACATCCTGATCTATGATCATTGTCTGTCTTACTATCTAATTCGTTCTTTAATTTCTTCCAACAACATAAGTTTCAGAATAAAAGTTCTACAGTTCCTTTTCTTCAGTTTATTCTTAAGTATGAGATTCTCTCTTATTATTTAAAGTAATTATTTAAATGGAATTATTTTCGTGATTGCATTTTCAGGTTATTCATTGCTAGGATATAAAAATAAAACTGATTACTTTTTCATCATATGCTGATGACACTTAGTCCCAGGTAACCAAGTTTCCTGTCATATGTAATTGCAGTTTGTCTTTCAGTGATCTCTGTGATACGCTATTACCGTGCTTAGAAAGTCTGTCCTTTTCCTGAAAACTCTTTAAAGTGTTCCATACTTGTGATTGCCTCCTGCAATCTAAGTGACTGCTTTATTTCTTTAGAACTTGCATGTTGATAGCCTAATATTTTTTAAAATATATTTTCATTAGTTTCAGAGAGGAAGGGAGAGGAAGAGAGAGATAGAAACATCAATGATGAGAGAGAATCATTGATTGCCTGCCTCCTACACACCCCCTCACTGGGGATCGAGCCTGCAACCTGGGCATGTGCCCTTGACCGGAATCAAACCTGGGACCCTTCAGTTCGCAGGCTGATGCTCTATCCACTGAGCCAGACCAGCTAGGGCAATAGGCTAGTATTTTTTAAGTTAAAACCAGTACAAGAAAAGTCTTAAAAATGTATACCTTCTCTCTACGTTACACAGTCCTTTCATTCTCAGTAGAAGTACTCTAGATCAGTGGTCGGCAAACTCATTAGTCAACAGAGCCAAATATCAACAGTACAACGATTAAAATTTCTTTTGAGAGCCCCAAATTTTTTTTTTAAATACATTTTATTGATTTTTTACAGAGAAGAAGGGAGAGAGATAGAGAGCCAGAAACATCGACGAGAGAGAAAAATCAGCTGCCTCCTGCATGCCCCCCAGTGGGGTCATGCCCACAACCAAGGTACATGCCCCTGACCGGAATCGAACCCGGGACCCCT